TATATATATATATATATATATATATATATATATATATATATATATATTATACATATATATGGTGTATGTGTGTGTGTATGTGTGTGTGTGTGTGTGTGCGTGTATGAAATCCATGTTATCAAGTATATTTTCAATATATTCTGATGGTTTTCTGTATATTACATTTCTCTGTTCGACAAACAGCGCCGTGGCTCCTTTTCGACGATTAATTCTCGTCTTGTTTTGCTTAGTCATGCTGGCTACTACACAGTAACCTGTTTGTATTATTAAAGAAAATTGGTAAAGGAAACCGGGGAACCCTGTATTTAGAACCTTCGACAGTAGTTTTCTATGTTTAAGTTACACTTTATTTTCATTTTTATCTTTTCTTTCTGTAGTCTTTAATTCAATTGTTAGTTCTTACCTTTTATATCTATCCCTCTTTCTTATTCCAAAGTTTCGTGTTGAAAATGTGTATTGGCTGCTGATGAAAACATCGGGAATCGACATGGACCGCCTTCCTCAAGATGGTTTTTGTCTTTTCTTTTCTTTCTTTCTTTCTTTTCTTTCCTTTTTATTTGAGTAACTGAAAAAATAGATATAGATACAAAGATAGAGGTAATTAGATAGAGAGACAACATGAGAGAAAGAAAATGCGAAAGAGAAAACAAGAAAAAGAGGAAACAAACAGATGATATCAATGCAATTATCGCAATAAAGAAAGAAAGAAAAAAAAGCGACTGAATGCAGATTGACGTGTATTCATACCAGCCATAAGGAACCAAAAAACGTAAATTCTCTTCACATACGCAGACAGGGAGACAGGGAGACAGGAGTGACTGGCAACTGCGTTTTTAGCCGCTTTACGTCCGTTCTTGGTGTTTCTGCATCTCTGTCTCTAACGCTGTTTTGCTTTGACCTCTCTCTCTTGTACGGACATATAGGAAATAGAGAAAGTTAGGAAGCGACTGTGTAGTATAATGAATGCTGATTAAATGCGGCGATTAAATTCATAACAAAAGATAAGCTGTATATTTCTTATATATGTGACACACACACACACACACACATACATATATGCATATACATACACACACACACACACAACACAGACTTGTCTGTCAGTTAATTTTGGAACAAGTAAAACGAGAAAAAAAATTGAAAGGGACAATGTAATCTTAAAGAGAAGGCAGGAAAGGGAAACAGAAATTTGTTCAAATTATGGCGAGAAAGAAGAGAGAAAGAGAGACAGACGGACAAACAACCAAAATAGGTAAACAAGTACATATAAAGAGAGGAAGAAGGAAAAGAGAAACGGGAGAAGGAGGGGGGGGGGGGATGAAGAGTGAAGCGCGAGGGGTGATAATCATAGAACAATGATGAAAGCAAAATCTCTCTCCGGCGTTTTTGTTCATTAATCGAATGCACACATTGATGATGGAATGGGTATGAAAGGGGGGGGGAGAAAAAGGAACGTTGAAGGGAAATCCAATTGATCTCTCATTAAGAATATATATATATATATATATATATATATATATATATATATATTTTTTTTTTTTTTTTTTTTTTTTTTTTTTTTTTTTTTTCACTCCTAAGCATGTTTTGCGGTGCAGTCGGAAGAAAACTTTTTTTTGTCATTGTTAATCTATTGCAATGATTAATAATAATGAAAAAAATGCATTTTCAATCTTACATTTTAAGTAAAAACTGATTGCAACTCGGCGCTTTTCAATTTTTAAGCCCGGGGTTTTTCATGTCTTTCAACCCCGGGCAATGTTGCAATCAGAGGGAGCATTTCTTTTTTGCTCCCTTTTGTGGATTCGAACCCGCAACAGCGTATCCGAGACCCGCTGTTGCGGATTCGAACTGGCGCCTTACCCGCTCGGCCACCGTGGCCGAGGGGCATGAGGAAGGGGTTGGAAGGGGTATTTCAGGAACATCTTTTTAATAAGAGAGAGAGAATACGTTAATGTGTATCTGTGCGTGTATGTATGAGAGAGAGAGAGCGTATGTATATTTGCGTAGGCGTGGTCGTCTGTATGTGCGTTTTTCTATGTATATGTGTTTACGATTGCATGAGCACGTCCGTCTGCGTGCCATGTGCGTGTGTGTGCGCTCGCGGGTACGTTCATGACTACGCGTATATGAGTGTCCGCGGCTGATGAGGGCACCCGAGCCCTGCTCTTGTTGTTACTGGGTATTTGAAAGGAACAAAGAACAGAGAAATAGTGAAGTTTATATTATCTAAATCGATGGGCCCGAAGTATGACTGTGATTATAGGCAACCAATAAGGCATCAAATGAGAATATTTATTCTTGCAGATTATTTTTTCCGATACTAATTATGTAAACCATTTTAATTGCCTTTTTTTAACCTTCAATCTGAAAATGGACATACCGTGTTGCTACAATGAAAATTAATATTAAATCATTAAAGCATAGAATAGATTGCTGAGACTTTTGAGAGAAAGAGAAAGAGAGAGAGAGAGAGAGAGAGAGAGAGAGAGAGAGAGAGAGAGAGAGAGAGAGAGAGAGAGAGAGAGAGAGAGAGACGAAAAATAATAAAATCATGCACAAATTCGTGTTATGTAACCAACATTTTATCTTTATTTCTGGTTGCTTATCTGTTTTTATCCCCCAAAGAACTGTCCAAACATTTGACAACATGTAAAATAGTGTCAGGCAAGCATTCCATGTCATTACTGAGGCAAAGTTATCCTAAACAAATATAAAACTGGAGTATTGTTGTCCGCGTCTCACGAGGGCACCCGAGCCCTGCTTCTGGTATTACTGGGCATTTGAAAGGAACCCAAAACAGAGAAATTGTGGAGAGGTTTATGATATCATCTAACTGATGGGGCTGAGATATGGCTGTGACTATGGGCGTGCAATAAGGCATCAAATCAGAATATTTATTCTTTTAAATTATTTTTCTGATGCTGTCAATTTATTTTTTAACTACCTTCAATCTGAGAATATGCATTCCGTGTTCCTGCAATGAAAATTTAATTATTAATGCACTGTAGTTGTTAAACTTTAAAGCATGTAAATAAATTGCTGAGACTTTTGACAGAGAGAGAGAGAGAGAGAGAGAGAGAGAGAGAGAGAGAGAGAGAGAGAGAGAGAGAGAGAGAGAGAGAGAGAGAGAGAGAGAGAGAGATAGTGAAAGAGTGAAAGAGAGAGAATGAGCGAGAGAGAGAAAAGAAAAGAGAGAGAAAACATAGAAACACATGAATTCACACATAAGGGAAATGTAGCATAATATACATTAACAATGTGCATGAAGAAAACGTTCGACTTTCTCGAACACAGAGGTCGGCAATCTATGGCACGAGTCAGCAGCATTATCATCATGGTTAATGTGTACCTGTGTGTGCATACATGCTGGGTTGTAAAAGACACGTTTATGGACCACTTAATCTCGCTCTGTCTGTCTCCTTGCCCACCAGATATTCATTAAATATTTTAGACACTGCAAGCAAATTTGAATGAGTTTTAATCCTAAATTACCTTTATCACAATCGCTCGTCTGCGTGCATTTGTAGCCACAGAACATTTAGAAAAGAATATGATAAAGGTGAGAGAAGGACGGATGCGGCGTCAGTTGTGAAGGCGCGGGGGCCATTTGTACTTATCAAAGAAAAAAACTGCAGTAGGCAATGAGGAAACTGCTTAATTCATGTTTTAAACCAGGTGAAATAGTGTCAGGCAGGTATTCCATACCATCACCGATACGGAATCATCCTGAACAAATGGACGATTTCAGTATTGTTTTCCGCACATGCTCTCTCTCTTTCTATATCTCAGTAACCCGCTCTCCTTCTCCTTCTTCCCCCTCCTCTCACTCACTCTCTCTTCTTTCTTTAACTGTTATGGTTATTATTACCGGCAGCAGCATTGTTATCAGTATAATCCATCATGTCATCACTTTTATAACCATCATTGATATTACCATTGTTTATTATCATGATTGTAATTATCTTTACCATCATTATTAGTATCAGTAGTGAATGTACGTGTGTGTGTGTGTGTGTGTGTGTGTGTGTGTGTGTGTGTGTGTGTGTGTGTGTGTGTGTGTGTGTGTGTGTGTGTGTGTGTGTGTGTGTGTGTGTGTGTGTGTGTGTGTGTGTGTGTGTGTGTGTGTGTGTGTGTGTGTGTGTGTGTGTGTGTGTGTGTGTGTGTGTGTTGTGTGTGTGCGAATATATTCCATCGTACTAAAAATTCAAATGAAAAATCTCTCTCTCTCTCTCTCTCTCTCTCTCCTTCCCTCACTAACACTCTTCTCTTTCTTTATTTCTTAGTAACACGCCCTCTGTCTCTCCCTTCAGCCCTCCCCAACCCCCTCTCTCTTCCCTCTTCTCTCTGTTATTCTTTCTCTCTTTTTTCTGCTATGGTTAGTATTACTGACAGCAGTAGTTTTGAACTTATTATCATCATCGCCATCAATATCATGTCATCACTTTTATCAGCATTATTAGTTATTACCATTGTTTATCATAATTGTAATTATCTTTGCCATCATTAGTAGCATTAGTATTATTTGGAACTAATATTTACATATTAATATACCTAATCTTGATAATCCACTGTGACGATAATATACAATAAATATTGCAATAATCTGAACCATTTAATGAATATTTATCACGTAATTTAGGTATTTTTTATTTACACATGTCTCGCTCAACCTTTGTTGTCATCGCGTCAGCTGTGAAGGCGCGGGGGCCATTTGCCTTATCGAAGAGAAAACTGCAGTATTCCATTTCATTGCTGATACTGAGTTATCCTGAACAAATGTGAAAGTTATGAGGAGGTTTATAACTATTCAAATCGATAGGTCTGAGAGAGAGAGAGAGAGAGAGAGAGAGAGAGAGAGAGAGAGAGAGAGAGAGAGAGAGAGAGAGAGAGAGAGAGAGAGAGAGAGAGAGAGAGAGAGAGAGAGAGAGAGAGAACATGAAACACACATGAATTCATACATTATGCAAATACAGTACAACTAAATTCATCTCTTGCCCTATGTCACTGTAGTGCAGTGGTTAGCACGGGTCGCCTCCAAAGGGACAGACTCGGGTTCGATCCCCGACGGAGACCACAAATTTAAATTATGCACAAATCCGTGTTACTCTAGATTTCTTATACAATCATCATTTTTATCTTTATTTCTGGTTGCTTATCTGCCTTTATCCTCTTCACACTGCATATTTTTTTCGCTGTTTTGCTTTTCTGTTCACTTTCACATGTATGTTGAGAAAGACAGCAAATTAGCCGAGAAAAATCCCTGCCACTAATATTTAAATAACGAATATTACACTCTTTTCTCTCCCTCTTCATGCCTCTCCCTTTCTCTTCATCCTTCCCCCTCTATCTCTCCTTCCCTCGCTAACATTCTCTGTCTTTCTCTTTATATATTAGTCCCCCCCCCCATTCCCCCTCTCTGCCCCTCTCTTTCTCCTTCTCTTCTCCCCCTCCTCTCACTCATTCTCTTTCTTTCTTATTACTGGCAGCAGTATTAGTATCATCATAATCATTATAATGCCATCACTTTTATCACCATTATTATAATTTTTTATATATTAACAATGCTGTAATATCTTTACCATCATTATTATTAGTAGTAGTAGTAGTGTGTGTGTGTGTGTGTGTGTGTGTGTGTGTGTGTGTGTGTGTGTGTGTGTGTGTGTGTGTGTGTGTGTGTGTGTGTGTGTGTGTGTGTGTGTGTGTGTGTGTGTGTGTGTGTGTGTGTGTGTGTGTGTGTGTGTGTGTGTGTGTGTGTGTGTGTGTGTGTGTGTGTGTGTGTGTGTGTGTGTGTGTGTGTCTTGTCTGCGAGCATTTGGAGCCACAGAAGAATTCACATTTAGAAAAGAAATTTTATAAAGCTGAGAGAAGGACGGATACGTCAGTTGTGAAGGCGCGGGGGCCATTTGTACTTATCGAAGAAAAAACTGCAGTAAGCAACTGGGAAACGAGCTTAATTAACATTTGACACCATGAAAAAATGTCAGGCAAGTATTCCATACCACTACCGATGCAGAGTTATCCTGAACAAATATAAAATTTCAGTATTGTTTTCCGCGTGTCATGAGGGCAATTTAGAGACAGTCCTTACGAGGGCGGGGCACCCAACCCTGATTTTATCATTAGTGGGTATTTTAAAGGAGCCAAGAACATAGTGGATAAGGGCTGAAGTATGACTGTGATTATAAGCGTATGATGACACATCACATAAGAATATTTATTTATCATGACACGAAGGCAAAGGAGATGGTGCCGAGACGATGGCACTTTGGACGAAAGGCTATATATATTAATGGTAATTTTCGAAATACGTATTCTAATGGTATTGCCGATTGGAAGTCTGTGAAGAGTATTGATAATAACGATAATGGCAACGGCAGTAGGCATGCCAACAAATTAAGTACAAAAAGAAAGAAAAAGATAGTGCTTTATATTTTCCAGGATTTTCTCTTTTATTTTAATGCTTAGTTGAGATAAGAAGGAAGATAGGTAGATTTTTTTTTTCTTTCCTTTTTACTGGATATTTTAGGAAAGTAGGCTATGGACGAGGCAAGAGAAAAGGGATTTAAAAGGTTGGTAACTTCATTTGATTTATTTAAAGATTGGACATATTTCAGTGCAATGGTAGGAATTAAATAATGTTCAATACATCTTACTCTTTTAATGAAAGTACACGCACACACACAACATATATATTTATACAACATTACGTACACAAGTGTAATACGTGGTCTCGTAAAAGCTACAGTATAATTCTAATAATGTACATTCATATATGTTTCTGTGGTGTAGTGGTTAGCACGGTCGCCTCCTACGCGACAGGACTCGGGTTCAATCCCCGACGGTTACTATAACAAAGTCCATTTTAGGCATGAATTTATGTTTGCATCTATATCTACTTGCCTTCCGTTCCATATATCTTTCTACTTTAGCTTCTGTTTCTGTCTCCGGTGTTTACATTTTTTTTTTTTTTTTATGTTTAGTGTTTTATGCGCGTTTTCACAATTTATTTCTTAATGATATGACTGTATTAGTGATATGAGAAGCAAAGAATGGGAGGAGGACGAAGTGGACGAAACAACTGATGAAGAGAAAGAAATATCAAGCCGTAGTAAAAAGAGTGGTAGTAGGAATGAGGCAAAAAGAAGAAGCAAATTTTGTTTTATTATCTTACTTAGTGTCATCTTCATTCCACTTTGCCTTCTTCAGATAAGGAATGTGATTCCTTGATTGTTTTTTTTCTTTTTTTTTTTTTTACCGTAGCTTGAAAACTATCTTATATAATACGAGAGGTTTGTTGCATTGCAGATCACAGTATCAAGAAATAAGTAAATGCTACTTATGCTCCGTAATGAAATAAAAATGCAAAGCAGACGAACCAGACAGAACAGCTACCAAAGTGTGAAATACAACTACTATTGCATCGTGACAGCTGGATCCTGTGCTGATCATATATCTTCTATTATGTACCGTATAAAATGTAATTCTTGCTTAATTCGTTTTATTCTCTCTTCTCATGAAACTATTTTCTCAACTATATATATATATATATATATATATATATATATATATATATATATATATATATATATATATATTTGTATGTATTATATTATCTACACCATTTGATATATTATATATTTCATTCAAAGATTTTCAAAACGAGTATTCTTTTAAACGTACTGGGAAAGCATGTCAATTCATAGCTACTTACAGAAGTTGTATATTGATTTATATGTTTTAAAAAACGTACTGCGGTTGGGTAAAAACTGTTACTTCAGCAGAAAATTATAAGAAATTTATGATAAAAACAAGATTTCACTTAACAGATATTCGAATGGATTTCAATAATTCAAGACAGAAATTCAGGTTTATTTTAAAGCGATTCTGAAAGGAAAAAGTTCACACAACAGATTAAGTGAAAATTCCATGATATGCCATTAACCTGACAAAGTTAGAAAGTAATGTGACGTAGACATTGTCACAGCAGCGGACATTGGGTGGGGTGGGGTGGGGGGGGGGTACCACACCCCATCTAGGAAATAAACAAACAAGCAAAACAATTTTTTCCTCTTCATTCTGTACGGTGGTCTTGGATGCTGCATCTCATCCTCTCCGCTCTCCCGCTCTGACTGCCGTGTTGCAGGATTGTTTGTTGTGTCTCACCTCGGTTTTGGGTTATTTTTCCTCGTTTTTATTTACTTTTATTGTTTTATTTTAGTGTCCCCTTTTTATTGTGTGTTTTCTCTTAACATTTTTATTTATGATTTAACAACGAGACATTTTTAATGACCCTTTTATCATCAGCTTTTATTCATTTTAGTTTTTATACATCAGTAAAGTTTAAGGTCTCGTTTTTTACTTAGTTTTTCATTTTAAGTTGTAGGGGAAGCATTTTTACGTACAGTGTTTATTCGTTCTTTTTAGTTATTGCTTTTCTTTTTTTTATGATTTCTATTTTATACTTTTAGTTTTAGTTTTGTTCATTTTTATGCGCAATTTTAGCTTATTTATTGCGACTATATTTTGTATAAATGTTTGGCCTCTGACGTCACCGGCGGCATTGAAAAGGTAAACAATAAACAGTACGAGTCGAGACGTCAACGAGTGTGTTTCGCTATCCTCCGAAACTTTGAACCAGGAAGTCTGAGTGATCTTTTAGTTTTAGTTTTCCTGTTTCGGTGTCACCAGACTCGGGTTTTATACTGTCGTATTTTTTCTTTTAGGTTTAAGGGGTTTTAAGCCTTCAGCTCTGACGCCAGACTTGCTGGTTTTGTCTTTGTTTTATGGTAAGGCCTTCAGCCAGGCTCTCCACTCTGGAAGTCTTTTCTTTTAGTTTTTGCATACGACAGTCAGTAATTTTAGGTGCCTTTTTAGCACATTCTTTTACTTTTGTATTTTTCTTAGATTACTTTTTGGTATGTATCTTACCACATGGTTAGGCTGAACGTCAGAAAGTGGTATTCACACTGGAACAACCCTATTCATGATTCAGTCTCCCCCCCACCCCCCCACGCTACCACTTAAGGGGATTGAATTGACAGGGGTTAACCAGGTCTATTCGCGCCTGAATCCCCCGCCAGCATCAAGGGAGGGCAGAATTCTAAAAAAGAGTGACTTGATGAACTGGGACGGGACCCCTGTGGTAGATGGGTCACACTACACCCTTTTGATGGTCTTGCCCCTTTCTCATTTCTTAATTACATTCTTGATTTCCATTTTCTCTGTTTATTCTTTCTAATCTCTCTCAGTTTTTTAACCCCTTTGTTCATCATTTTTGTTTTGTTTCTTTTCTTTTTTTGTCTTTCTGACATTTTCCCCTTAAT